ACCTGGCCACAAAACGGACAACAGTACACCCGTTAGAAAAACAGCAGCAAATAAATAAAATAAAGACTATAAAAATAATCTAAAGCTGGCGTTTTTCTGATGCAGGCCCAAGTAAAAATGCCATAGGGCCTTCAGGTTGCGGTGATGCGACCTGGGGGCCCTATTCCAACCTCGGGTCCCGTGAGGGGCCCGTGTGTAGGCTTTCAGCATGTAACACTCCCTCTCCTCTCTCCACCTGCTTCCCTCCATCTCCCTTCCATCTCCACTGCCTCGCTCCATCTCTCTTCGTCCGTCCCCTCCACTCTCTCTTCTCTGACATCAACAAGGCGTGTTGTCATCAACGGTTTGTATGGCAGATGAGTACGGGGAAGCTGAACTCAAAATGCTCAGTATTTCAACAAAGAAACAAAGGAAGGGCAGCTGTGATGATTTGTCTGAGGGGTGGATGATTCCTGTGCGGTCTTTGTATGGGTGGTGGGTCGGGGGCGAGAAGAGGGCGCTATGATCTGTGGGGCTGTCCTTTGTCTTCGTGTTGGCTCTTATCTGCAGGTCATCGTACACTGGGATTGCCATTACTGAGCTTCTGGATGATGGCCGGGTCGGACCAGAGCGGCAGGTTTGCGGTCTTCCAGAGAGTGCAAAGATTAATTTTGTCAGTTGGTGAGCGCCTCAATTCTGTGCAGTTGGTGAATGTACTTTTCTATGTTTCCACCCTTGCGGGGCGATAATCAGGTTGCCTCCTTCAGTATGCCCTGTATCCTTCTTTGTTCTGCTGTGTCCCCTGTTGGTATATCACCGTGAAGAAATAAAAGCTTATGAACATTGATTACTTCCAGCACAAAGGATTGACTGTCATTGCAGCCCACACATTTGCACCCCGCCCCTCCCTTCCTTGCTGTCCTTCTAGAAAAAAACAAACCGAAATCACGCCGGTGTTTGGGTGGCTGCCTGATAAAGCCCTAAACCCTAGGATGTCTCTAGTCCTGTGTGTCGTCCAATCTGTCCGCAATGCGGCTCCCCTTCTGACTTGTCTGCAGAGATCTTCCCAGCTTGCCCTTGGGTGTTTGGTCCGTAAGGTTCCAGCCTCGGGGGACCCCCTTCCTCTGTTGCTTGGGTGCTTGAGACCGTCTAGCCATTGGCTCCCCTGGCCATAACATGGGGAGGTGTTGGAGTGGGTAAAAGTTCTTTTGCCTTGTCAGTGGTCAGTGTTGCCGGGCCAAACGTTCGCCAGGGGTCAGGCCGACCCCTGAACGTTCGGCCGACCGGAGTGGGGTTCGGGCCCATCCGACCCGCGGGGCTCGGAGGCACGTCAAACCCTTATTGGGGGCCTAATTTTTTTTATTTTGTATTTTTTGTTTTTTAGATTAAGGAACACCTAGCGCACCTACCTCTGAATTTTCTTATTATTCTGTACAGTAAAAAAAATGCTAAATTTCGTAGAAGATACGGGTGTTAAAATTTTTTGGAACCCCCCCCCTATCCCCCCCACACACATCGCCAATCAGTCAATCAAGCTTTGAGGCCCCCCCGAAGGCGGGGCCCCTTACTTCAAAGAGGCCTGAATATCGCAATTTTGGAGGGCGCCAGACAGTTGCCATGTGAAAGTTGGTTACATGATTCCTGCTGGCGAGCATCAGAATCTTCCTTGAGCCTTCTACGCTCTTCTAGCTTTGACGTGGAGGAAGACCTCTCGGCCGATCTCAATGTAGGGAACACCTCAGGGCGTGTGTGGTTACTTCAAAGAGGCCTGAATATCGCAAATTTTGGAGGGCACCAGGCAGTTGCCATGCGACAGTTGGTTACATGATTCCTGCTGGCAAGCATCAGAGTCTTCCTTGAGCCTTCTACACTCTTCTAGCTTCGATGTGGAACGGCCGATCTCGATGTAGGGAACACCTCAGGGCGTGTGTGGTTGATTGGGGGCACCTAACGGTTGCCGACCCAGGCCACTGTCTGAACGGGCCTGGGCGCAGACACTTCGGCCCAACGCGAAGCTAGTGGGCATGCGCGTGTCCCAGTCCAGGCAGGTATCGTGCCTGGCCACAATCACGGCATCTGGGCACTTGGTAGTCTCGCGGGAGCGCTGTTGTGTTGGTTGGTGAAGGCCGCTTGGCGCTTGTGCAGGACAACGCACGTGCGCGCTGCAAGTGGCAGCTCCAGTATCCAGCCGTAGCCGGGCTTGGGGAAGAAGGGGCCAGCGGGGCATGGTGGTGATCCTACGGTGTGTGGAGAGGGATAGAGCTGTGGGGGTGAAGTCAAGGGTGGGCAGTGGAAAGGCGAGTGAGGGACTAGATGTGAGAGCATGTACCTGGTTGGGGCGGAGGTCTGGATGGTCGACATGCTGCTGCGGTCAACGGGTTGCTTCGTCATTAGAGTAGGCTAGAGTAGGACCTGTGTTCGTAGTCTGGGCACTGAGCGCAAATCAGGAGGAAGAGCTCTGGATACATTGTTCGTGGCGGGGAGAGAGTGTTTTCATTGTTCGCTGCTTTGGTTCGCCTTTGGTGTGATACCAGTGCATTTATGCTTTCTGGACAGCTCACGACTATCTGGCTTTCAATGTGATGTTGCAATTTGGATTCTGTCATTTCGCTATTGCTCATTTTCCTTGCACCTGAAATCAGACTCACTTTCTTCTTTGCTTCACAAACATGCAAACAGATGGCGATTCACACTGGCGCACAGCGCCCACTCAAAACTCAGAGATATGGAAATTGAGAACTCAGTTTAGATGCAAACTTGCTTCCACAGGCTATGGCGCAGAAGCGCCTGCACATCCAACCCTTGACACTGTTCCCAACACCACCGTTCACACTCACTTACTCTGGATCACCCTGCATACCCCACACATGTTCATACACTCACACCCTCTCTCCTATCTACAGCGGCTATGGCCGCTCACCTACTAGCTACGGCTACACTAACTTCTTCCAGCCCACTTCGACTTCGGGCGCTCTCCAGACCACCTCGCACAAGACACTGTAGCAGCGCTTCTTCATGGCTCACGCAGCGAATGAATGAATGGCTGGGCGCTGCCTCTTGATTTATACTTCTGTAACTCGTTGGTCTACCCCTTTCCCATGCCCTTGGCGCACACAGTCTCACACGGTACTTGCTTGACTGGACTATGACTGACTGGGACCGGTGCCGCTGACTGCATGGGTTTGCACTGCCAACTCGATGCAGTCGCACTGCCGACGTAACCCAGTTGGGCTCACCACTTGCCCACTTGCCTCTGTCTAAACGTGAGCCAACTTTGAAAGGCCACTTCCGGACCTTCCGGAAGTCTGTGGTCTTGGCGTTTCGAACACTGTAGCAGCTACGACCTTGACCTCTCAGAACACCTACAGCTTCGGCCTCTACAAGGCTGTGACCCCTACTCATCAGATCTACAGATCAACCCCCTACAGCTACACAGACTTACGACAGACATCAAATGACTACCAGAATACAGGTCACGGGTTCAAACACTCGGGGTTCAACTCGATACTGTACATGGGCAAGGTAAGTTTGGGGATCGAACTCTAGTGCCCGCATCTGTGACTGCAGAAAGGTGAAAACCGTTTCACACCGCGCGCACCTACCTTTAAAGTTTCGTATTATTCTGTACAGTAAAAAAAAAGATAAATTTCGTAGAAGACAGGGGGGGTAAAATTTTTTGGAACCCCCCCCCCTATTTTGCCGGTCTTTTTTTTAGCTTTTTGTGTATATTTATTGATTGATTGATTTGCAGTAACCCGTGTTCTGCAGCAGTCTGGGCCCTCGAAACGGAGCCCAGACGACACAGGCCAAACTCGGCCTGCGCCAGGCAGTGTGACCACACACTGCCCGTGGGAAGTCAAAAGTCTAAGTGAACTGTCAGGTCAAAGGTACCGCACCCAGGCCCTTGGTCGGATACACTCACTTGTTGTGCGCAGGTACCCAGACAGCATCAAGGCGAGAAGGACTTCGGTTTCAGGCCAATCTGAGCCGTCATTTGTATTGAGATCTTGACGGCTGAGGGATGCAGCATCCGGGGTCCGTGTCAACGCTACATAAGCGCTGACTTCCTGACTGTGACATTCATTCGGTCTTGCGTCAATGCTGACTTCACGCGTTGACGATGACGCTGGCTCGACACTGCGATGCTGGCTGGATGCTGGCTTTGCGCTGGCACTTGGGTGACTACGGCGACGCACTGCTGGCTCGGCATGGTGGCTGGCTGACTACTGTCTTTAAGGCATGCTGACGTGGCATCTGCCACGTGTCGCTGCTGACGTGGCCGACGCCACGTGTACTGTTGCTGACGTGGTTGGGCTACATGACTGGCACTGCTGTTCTGATTCATCGTCACTCGGGAGGAGATCATGACTGTGGGGTGATCGTGGACACGTACCTGGTTATCTTGAGGTCGACATTGCTCCAGTATGCTGATGAGGGAGTGATCGACGTGCCACGTGGCACATTGTAATAGAACTTCAGATGTGCGTTCCGACTATTGATTATTTGAGGTGGCGATCGAGGAGGGAGCCCGAAGAAGAAGTGGGCATTTGTTTTTTATTCTTCTTCTAAGTCTAATCTCCCTCCTCTCTCCTTCGTCTGTGTATGATTCTCCCATCTCATTTTATCTGGACACGATTATGATTATTGATAATCATCAGCAGGTTGATATTCATCTGGGCTTGCATTGTTGGCAAGTGTGTTCACGATCTGGGTTCATTGCAGATTGGTTGGGGTGGGGTCGCTCCCCCNTGATGCGCCATAGCCATCTGAAGTGAGATTGTATTTGATCTTTGTTCCTGGTTACCATATCTCCGAGTTTTGAGTGGGCGCTTGTCGCCAGGTCGCTGCACAACCTGTTCGCACGTATGTGAAGTGCGAAAAGAAGCGAGTCTGATTGCATTGGTATCAGAGCTGGTACCCGCTATTCCACGCGCCATCGCCGTTCAGGAGAAGTCCGCCATAGCTGACCAGCGGAAGAAGATGGACGCCGCACCTGCAAGGAAGACAATGACGAAGAAGAGAGAGAGAGAGAGAGAGAGAGAGAGAGAGAGAGACGAGTGATACAAGATTGGTTCACCACGCGTACCTGCGTTGAAGACCTGTCTCTTATACACATCTAGATGTGTATAAGAGACAGGTGTGTGTGTGTGTGTGTGTGTGTGTGTGCGGGTGGAGGGGCAACCTGCCGGCAACCAATCAATCCATCAATCATATTGCATTTTCGTCTTTTAAACTTTTTTTATATATTGATTGATTGATTGATTGGTTGGGGGGGGGGCCCCCCCCCCCCCCCCCCCCGCCCCCCCCCCCCCCCCCCCCCCCCAACCCCAACCAACCAATCAATCAATCAATCATTAAATAAATCAGTTTTTTTTCTCAACTTTTTGTTGATTGATTGATTGGTTGGGGGGGGGTGTCGCCCCCCTCCCCGCGCACACACTCACACACACGCACACGCTCCCCACCAAAGGTGTGCCAAACTCAAGTGCGGAGTACTCCTACTCATTTCACCGTTGCTGTACACAGAGTTCCGGGTGACGATCGGACACCTCCTCCGAACAGAATAGCTAGTCCTGATGTGCCCGGCGTCTAGATAGTTTCCCAGAGCACACTCACAGGTGGAGGTGTTATGCTTAGTAGGCGGGCCATCGCTTTGGACAACTTTGTGGCGAGTACCTCCT